CAAGTATGCCACACAAACGAGTACTACTTGAAGATAATGTTCATGTCTTTCGAATTTACTTGAAGATTAACGGAACAAGGTGTGACACAAGAGACCTGATTACTCCAACTCGCTAATGATATTTAAACGCCCCATTGAGCCAGCTAGAGCATTTGGTCATCACTCCTGGATAACAATGCTTGGCGCGATGAAACTTTCTCCCCAATCCAAACTCCGATTTTCTTTGCCATCGTTGGTAAAGATCTAAGGGTAAATTTGGGGTAAAGGCTTTGTACTTTAGGACGTTCTGCACCGTCGTATTAGTCCAGAAAATTTTTGACTTAACCCACCACTGAAAATAAAAAAGAAAAACGAAAATTCACTAGGTTAACTAGGCAAGACAACAAAAGGATGAATAAAGAATGAAGCTTTCGGTGTTAATCACTCCCTGAGGGATGTTCGATGCATCCGACTTCACCGAGCATCGTTAGAGGTGATTCAGTGCATATCTGGCCCATATAATGACTTGCAGTGGCCTGTATCGAGCTACTGTTGCTACCCTCGCAGACAAATTTGGTACCAATTTGCCCATGCCGCAGCGATGAAAGGCTTGATGAGCCATGGGCGCGGGAATCGATCCCATGTTTATCGCAGGCGGCCTCTAACTACTGCGCTACACGCGGCGCCACATGTAAGCCAATATCTCACTGAAATCGAACAAAAACAACAACTTTGTATCTACACTCACACCTACTTTCACTCTTACTTTCATCAAAACTATTCAGATGTGTCTTTTACACTTCGATTACTAAACGGGTACGAAAAAATCGGACAAAGGGGAAATTTATCTCGTAGGCCAGCAATGTGCACTTTGCGGCGGAGTGATTACCGTTGTGTGTCCCGTGGAAACGAATCCCATTACCCTTTGCAAATTTCTTCGCCTCATAGTAACCACATGACCTTTTATACACAAAGATAGTAAAAAAGAGATCTCTCCAGTATTCCAATGCACTTTGCATTGTACGGAATGCATGCGCTCTCCAACTTCCTACCATAATAGTGCAGGTCAATGAAATGCTGCATCGATTGTTGTCCATGTTTACCGTTGCAAATGTTCGTCAACAAAACATTGCTATTCGGTTTCGCACATGTAGCGAACATTCTAGTAACCCATATAACAACATAAATCCTCGTGTAAAATGTTTCTATGATCCAAAACGGTATTTGATAGAGCGATCATACCAAATGGGCGCCGTTAAACGATAGTGACTGAAGCTTCTGCCTACGATTGCCTCTAAACGGAATTGAACCACAGCCATTCTGTTTACGAGATGGATTCTCTCTCGCTGAGCTACAGAGGCGGCATTTCAGAGCAACCGCCAAACTAAGAATAGTGGATATTTATAGGACAAAAAACTAGGTTTCTGAGGAAAGTATCCATCCCAGACACACTAAATCGCTTAAGAAAAGCAGAAACTAAACTACGAATACAGAAATATTACAAATGATAGCTTTCATAATGCTGAGATTTACGGGTGATTACTGATGGCTGTGATCGAAAGAACTAGCTGACAGACAGGCGAAACGAAGGACCCGCATGGTGTGGTGGTGAACGAGCTACTCCCCGGAAAGGATGATAGCGCGTTCGTTCCCCACCGCAGACACCTGCGGTCCGGAGTTTTGCAAATATCTCAACATTATGAAGGTTATATTTCGCAACCTACCCTGCCATTAAAAAGAATAGGCAGTAAATAAAAAGGTTAAGGCAGATGATACCTTTTGACTAATAGAAAACTATCTCATACGGGAAAATGAGATGTATCAGCACCCAGATACATTAAGAGAAAAGTATTTCCTAACAGGAAGTACAAACCGTAACTTCGCTAGGGAAATTGTTTTCAGAGGGTAAATCAGAGACAAGAGAAGTTCTCGTCGTTCGGATTTCTTATATAACTGTGAACTAACTTTCCTTATTTGACGTGTAGATTATTATTTCATACTGCCACGGAACGGGCATGCATAGCTTAGCGGTTAGACGTGCGCTACAACACACAGAAGATCGCTTGTTCGATGATTACGCGCATCTATCTAACCAAGCATCCCATCTTTCCCTTGCAGAGAAATTTGTGTCGGATATATCTGGGAGGATAAAAAACATTGGATTGATGCTGTGATGATTGATCAAACACGGCTGAGAGAGAGCCAAAAGGAAAGACCAGCATGATGTGGTAGTGAGCACGTCAGCCGTCAAAAAGGGTAGTAGCGGTATCGATCCCCATCGCAGACACCTGCGATTCGGTTATATTTCACATCATACCCATGAAAAAAGAGTAGGTAGTGAATAAAAAGTGACTATGCTATGGTGATTATTATCATGAACTACGATGCTGAATGAAGTCGAATGCATGGCGTATCGGCGCACCTTTCAGAGACTAATCCCCTCCTATCCTTTTCCCCTATGACAGAAGAACTAACGAGTCCCAAAACTGCAAAACTACTTGGTTACGAGATCTGTCGATATATGTGTGAGCATCCGGTGAAGACTTTTTCACTTGCCATTCGCTCAGCCCATAACGATTTTCCCGCTTTCACTCATCGACAGTGTTTTTATCCAATACCAAGCGCTAGATGACACTGTCATCTATAAAGTTACAGTGTTAACTTAAATAAAATCAAGTTACTTCCAACGAATTATTCAACTTTACAGCGAAGAAAATTACTGACTAAGCTCCTTAATAAAAATGAAAGGATAAAGCTCTCGGCGTCGATCAATCCCTGAGGGATGCGCAATGCATTCGACTTCATTACGCATCGTTTGGAAGTGATTGAATGCATATCTGGTCTTTACAATTACTCGCGGTGGCCTACCGATGTATCGAGCCAGTGCTGCTATCGTCCCAGACAAGTCTGGTGTCAATTTGCCGAGCCCAGAGGGTTGGAATGCATGGTGGGCCATGAGCGTGGGATCGATTCCACATGTGTGTTGCGGGGCACCTCAGACCACTGCGCCACACACGCCCTTAGGTTCCTTAATGTTCTTAAAGCAACATCCATCAGTCATCCGCAAAAGAGTTATAATAATCTGCTTTGCGAGTCGATAAAATTTCTGGAGGTGGCGAAAGAAAATGGTAGAGATGAAAGCATTTTCCTAAGATGTACAAGTGCTTTGATATTTGGTTTCAGAATCAGTGTTCGGCATGTCATAAACACTGGTTAAACTACTGATGACCTTTCTGGAACTGGAATCGTTGGTATTTTGAAGAATAGAAAACCGAAGTCCTAAGTCAGAAAACTCACGAATTTTGAACCGGAGAAGTTTCCAAGCGTAAGTCGGTTGAACTTCTGATTATTTATTATTTATGATTATAAGGGATTTAATCTCTCTTGTAAAGGATACGTTCAACACGCGCAAGGCCTTGGTTGGGCCCCGTACGAGGCAAATCAAACCCTCGGTCGGAAAATTTCCACACTTGTATGCTAAAATGAACTCCTTACGGTCCACAAAGGCGGGTGATTACATACGGTTCGTACATGGGTGCACCCGAACCCGGATGGACACGCAGGGATTCTAGGAAGAATCGACTAGACTGGCATTCAGCGACATTCATGAAGAAGATCAGGACAGACGAATGGAGGGCCGGGATCCACATAGTGTGTGAAATCGTACCATTTAAAGTAAAAAAAAACCCGGAGGGATAAAATAGTGACATAAGCCCGAAGCAATAAAGTAAAGCGTGATAACCTCTGAAAAGGTAAGACATCCATGACGGTACAAAATGAGGAAAGCAGTTTTTATCGTAATCTATTTCGAGCATTTGATGAACAAGTGGACTGACCTTGAAACCCTAACCCTGTTTGCCGCCAAGACGCAAGACTATTTGCACTAGTAAAAATCCAACCTTACAAAAACTTTTATTGCAATGTTCAGAATTCCTTGCTAAGCTCAACTTAAACTTTGAAATTAACAGCGATATATCCCAAATAAAGTACAAGTATAAAAATAGCACGAAAATGAAGCAAGCCGGTTGAAAAGAAGTGCTAACGTTCTTCTGAGAGGAATCTCTCTAGTTCTTCAATCTTCAATCTCTACATTCCGGAGGAATTCCTTAGCCAAAAACAACTACATTACACAAAAAACCACATTACATCCTTTTGTGAAGGACCGCTCTAGTTCTTCAATCTTCAGTCTCTACGTTCTGGAGGAGCTCATCAACCAACAAACTACATGATAGATTCCCGTTACTGGATGAAATTACTGGTAGAGGAAATTACGAGAGTATTGGCCACCTGCCGCAGAACAATGAGCAGCCTTGAGCCGGAGCAGATGGCCCAAACATTTTTCGTGCTCAAAAGTACTAAGCAAGCTCCAGAAAAAATGGTAAGACCAAGATTTCCAACAAAACGAAATCCTACATTTTTTTGCAATAGAGCATAATATTTTAACAATGTGCATAAGAAAAAGATCGTATCATCTGATAAAAAGAGAAAGAGGTGATAAGAGCAAACAAACGACCGAGAATGACTCATCTGAGAAAATCTATATGGCATATCTTTCTTTTTCAGTCAAAATAGGTATTACACATTCGAAGAACCAGACCGTCAACAATGAAACGTCTGAAAAAGAGAAAAGAAGTGAGACTGTGAGAAAAAAAACGTGTTAGAACGGCGATTATTGAACTGGAAATTATGGAAAACGAGAAGAGGAGAGAGACCGATGTCAAGAAAATGAAGTGATATGGGATTTGTAGAAGGCTGGTGCCCGGCGCTAAACGGAGTAAGCGTAACCAGTTTGATCTTTGAAATCTGTCTTCGATAAGCTGGCATTTCATCAAAGTGGCTCCTCAAGATAGCTCGATGAAATCAGAAGTAATATTTGGCATAGTTTCCAGCACTAAGCGTTCTTCAGGTTGCCCAGAATTGAATAAAAGCTGCAATGTAGGCTTCCTGGAAGCAAATACGAGATCTAGTCAGCGTTTCTGGTGGAAGAGAGTCATCTACGACGACGACGATGACTCAGGAAGATGGGAACAAAATTCCAGTTCGTCACCGGCTACACAGCAACGCCACGCAAGCCCAGTGTGCTGAGTCATCGCGTCGACCCGCCCAGTCGCCCGTCGGGTGGCGCGCCGGTCCCCATGGGCGCGGCGCGTTTGACGTATGGGACAACACGATGGGCCGATGCGGGTGCGGGTGGTAGCGAGTCTGCACGCATTCCACTTGTTGCAAAATTGCGCTCGAACACAGATCTCTGTGGTGTCTCAGCAACAATTGGAACAATGGGCTAAATGTAGAAGGGCAAAGGATAAACGACAAAGTGTTCTGCGTCGCTCGGTCCCTTATAGATGTGTCATGTATTCGATTGCATTCGTATCACCGTGAAGATGATCGAATGAGTGGTTTCGTCGGAATAATGACTATTGTAAAAGGTTATGGAGGTGTTTGGCTGTGTAGGTTGCGGTCATCCTAACCTTTCCAGGCTCTAAGGAAGATGAAATTTGCCGAAATGTCAGCTTTGCCGAAATCGCCTGTATCACCTGTAGTCCCGTTGACTGTCGAGTCACTCGAGTGTGCACCAGTAAACCTTCCATTTTTCCCTGTCGCGTGCAAGAGCAGCCCAGTGGGTTCTGCTAGATCTAGGGAGTCGTTGAGCATCATATCTTCTAGGATACTCGTGAAGAACTCTGACCATCGGGTTACTGACCATTACTATCGTAGGAAACTATGTATGTATTAGGTCAATATTTTTGACCTCCTAAGAGCTTACTAGCACCCATTTACCGATGCCAAAGGGATTGAAGGCGAGCATCTGAGGCGACAGATTGAACCTACGATAACATGCCAGCTCTATCCACTGCGCTACACGTGCTTCGAGTCAATATAGAGCAAGTAAATGAAAGAGAAATGAATAGAAATAAAATGGAAAGCACGATTTTTATGAATATTAATGCCTTAAGCAGAAATAGAATTAGGACCACAATTTCCATATATTTGCATCAAGGCTATAAGAATGGCTAAACGAGTAGGTGGGATGTTAATGTCGTACTTTCCACAACTTGAAGAATGCAAACAACCCCATCTCCAGAAGGTCAAACGTTGCAGAGTGCCCAGAATTAAATGACTGACTTAAAAGGAGGACTAAAAAATTTATGGCATTTTCTAAAATTCAATTTTACCAGTCAGAGTAGATGCATAATTACAACCAACTCTAGCGGATGAGTATAAGCTTAGATTATCCACCCGTGCAAACGCTTAACTCCCTGTATCGGAAAGTGTAGTCGAAGAACGGTTTCCATCAACTCTTGAAGATAATGTAGAAAACCACACTCATTACAATTCTTAAATGCTTCGAAAACTCTGTGAGGTTCTAAAACGATCACCTACTTATCTTAACCATTTTATTTATTGCCAATTCTTTTTAACGGCAGGGTATTTTGCGAAATATAACTATTATAATGCTGAGATATTTGCAAAACTCCGGACCGCAGGTGCTTGCGGTGGGGAACGAACGCTCCCGGAAAGGACAATAGCGCGACGGACAACGAACGCGCTATTGTCCTTTCCGGGAGCGTTCGTTCCCCACCGCAAGCACCTGCGGTCCGGAGTTTTGCAAATATCTCAGCATTACAATGATCACCTATTTAGTTATGCTACTGACAAGACTTTGATAGACGTTTTAAATGCCGGTTTCATCCACTACACCTTCAAATTGCCCTGTCACTCTGCTCCCTTCACGAATTTTTTATCCCCTCATTACAGCGCTTATCAAACTCAGAACTTCGTTCATGTTTTCCTGCGGGTCTACACTGAAGTATCAGCTTAAAAAGTATTCCTATTAGTTCGCAGGTCTTAACAGTTTCCGGTGAAAAATGTCTCTTATTTAGCTTAAACGTTCCGATTGTTCTAGCATTGTAATGACTCTAAAAAGCAGACCCAACATCTCATCAATGCTACTGGTAACAGCACCTTCCAAAAGGCTAGCAATAGATCCAAACAAATACCTCTTTGTGATGATTTATGACGCGGATAAATGGATTTTCTGTCTTTCTCATTCTTAAGCTGAGAAAAAAACTGTCATTAAAGCGATGGTACCATCTAGTGTTGAACACTGGGATAACAATGACATTGGTTGGCACATCTTTTTATTTACGATTTATGGCCTTGATGAAGTAGAGAAGCTCTCCATTTTTTATTGTTCCTTTCGAATCAGCGAAATCCGACTTAGGCAATTTAGACGTTGCTTTGAGGTTAACTTTGGCGTTGACTACTTTAACGCTATTGTAGATGATAGGATCTTCTCTGTACTTTTCCAAGCTCTATGAGATCTGCGTACGCTCTCCCAAAGTGGGGCAACATCTCGTGTTCTTCGTGATCACTTAAACGAAGGCTATTCGCTTACTTGATGACCGGAATACAACCTGCATGTATAGAAACACAACCACATACGCATTTATGAATGTCTGAATATATACAGAAAGAAGTAACTAGGCAACAAAGACATGCAGTTCATGGCTTGAATTCAATTGCGTCTCTGAATAAGTACACAAAATTTTGGTCCACTTAACCTCGTATTCCACATCGAGGACGCCCCATGTAGCCTTTCGAAAGTTCAAGAGCTCTAATTTAAGGCATATCCACGGCGAATCGAACGAATGCACTTTGGCTGCACCTATGAAAAAAGCGCCACTCATCAAAAATCGAACTGTTCCTGATGTCTCGCAGAGACACTCAGCATGTCAAATACCTCAGAACGCCCTTTGCACATTTGGGTCGGAGAATCAATATAACGAGCAAGTTAGCTCCAGAGCAGCCAAGTAGGAGCGAGTGGGGATCTTAAAAATATATGAGAGACACAGTAAAGAAAACGAAAAACGATACAATCCGTGTCTATCACTTTGACACTTTTTGCGTATAAGCAGGATCAAAGTGCGGTCGGCATTATATTATAGAGCGCGTTAACGACGAAATGCCAGTGAGAGTATCCTGCTTTATGCAAATGGGAGGGGGAACCCGGAGTTTCGATGTACGCCCATGATCGAAGATAAGATGCGCAGCGGCATACACGAAGATATCGAAAATCAGGTGGGCCGAACACGTCATGAGTCTGGAATGACAACAGCTGGACAGGAGGTGTCAACGACGGGCTTTTCCGAGATTTTAAAGAAGAGTTCGAACGGGAAAATATGAACCTTCTATATACCTCAAGGGAACAGAATCTAGTGGGTAACCTCGATCGAATCACTAGATGAATAAATTTCTTAACATTTCTTATTCTCATGTTCTTTCTCCAAATCGTTACTTTGCTGCATAAAACTGGTTTCATCTCATAAATGCAGCATCAAATGACACTCTTTCCTAGCTTTGCATACCACGACCACCACAAAGAAAATTGCACACAAAAGCCGTTGATGGCTTCGACATAAATGTCGCGAAGAAAGTCCGGCGTGTGGTCATCTTTGACCAATAACATACTCAGTTGTGAGAAAAGGTTTGGGACCTCCAGTTTCATAAAAAGTAAACTTTTTTAATCCGGGACCGACTGCGCATTCTCCACCACCTCTGTTGATTGTATTCATAAAAAGTTCTCTCTTTTTCTGTCAAGCTCTCGACGTTGATCAATCCCTGAGGGATGCGCCATGCATTCGACTTCACTAAGCATCGTTGGAGGTGATTGAATGCTTATCTTGCCTTTACAATGACTCGCAGTGGCCTACCGACGTGTCAAGCCAATGCTGCTACACTCCCAGACACGTCTGGTACCAATTTGCCGACTCCGGAGGGATGGAGGGCTTAGTGAGCCTGGAGTGCGGGGAACGATTCCATGTGTGTGGGCGCCTTCGACCGCTGCGCTACGCGCTCCCAACACACGTAATACAGTACAATGGAATAATAATACAATAATGCAATGTTAGCAATAAATTTCATTTAACAACAAGGAATCAAAAGTAGAGCAGCAGGAAAAAAAGAAACATATTTTCCAAAACAACTAAGAGAGGGAATGAGATTTACTCTAAAGGAAATAACAGGATAGTTGCCCCCATCTTCCTGTGGAAAAATGGAAACATTTTAAATTCAGACTCCTTGTTTTTAACTTTAACTGAGTAAAAGTCTTTGGGAAGTAAAACGTTGCAGCAAATTTCTTCGTTATGTAAAGACAGCAATGAAAGGCTAAAAAAACCGGAAGGAGAATGAATAAAGAACTTACAGTAACAAGGGGTAAGATCCGGAACTATTGACTTGAAACAGAAGTCGTTGCCGAATTTTGTTTGGAGGTTATTGTTTTCACGTTGGTCCATCTGCTTCTACACTTTGAGAATATTCCATTTTGATGCGCGTTCCGGAATATTCTATGCATTCTATGGCAGCGGTGTGAAAGTGGCTATACGCTGCGGAAGAACAACGTTGAATCGAAACGGATGACTTACGAAAGTTCTTGAAGAGCTAGCGCTGTCGCACTACAGCTCCGACATTCCTCAAGAAAATCAGTACCGATTGGCAACTGCAAGCTGAGATACGAACTCATACAGTCACACCGCGATAGATCTGTGAACGTCAGCACCAGTGCGTTTCTGCTGCTTCGTCACCAACGACAAAACCTTCCGCATTCTTTGATGCAGTGAAGAAAGAGCTATAGAAACAATTCAGACGCCGGTCTTTGTATGACAAATCTGAGCATCACGACAAAAAGATGACTCATAGGAGGATTTCAGATGAACCACTATTCCTCGACTACCCCTATAGTCTTGACATGGCGTTTCCAGATCATCATAAAGATCTGCTCAATGTCATAAAGCATTTATTACCGGTGCGATAGAAATTCCGATGATTGCGATGACCCTAAGAACGTCCTCGCCAGACTCACCAAATGCTGATTGGTGACGTTTCCGGAAGAAATGGATCCAGGACTCACTCTAAAAAACTGCATATTATCGTTGATAGTTATGTTATATACACTGTTAACTGAAGTCGTGGTAACTATTCTCCCGAATAGTTCATGGCAACTCACCTATTTCGTAGTATGTTTTGCACCTTCTCAGCTCGAACTAGCACTCCATCCATCTGAATACTATTTCTACACCGTTTCTTCCTGATTGTTGTACTCTGTGTACCTATTCAATGATTCAGCTAAGTACTCTACCCACCCCATGGGTTCCGCCCACCCGAAGATCCACTGTTGATCTGAGGAAGGAGAACAATGTTTTATTCCACTTCCGCACTACCATAATCCGTGCTCAATGATGTGTACTGTTACAATGCTTAACATTTTTGTTCACTACCTATTATTGCT